AATGCCAATAATTAAATAAAAAAACTTTTTTATTTAATTAACTAGCCTTTAGTATTACGCCTGGTATATATTTATTATATTTCGGGGGGATGCAATATGTCTAGTCTATTTCCGTCCTTGATCAATTTTGAAATGGTCGGTCTATTTCCGTCTGGAGGTAGTATGTACTAGTACTTCTTTACTGTACTAGTACAGTACCTGCTAAGAAATAACGTTACCGCATTACTACTGTAGTAGTGTACTAGTACTGTAGTAGTATACAGTGTCAATCTAGTCCTTTGCAGTACTGTGCTGTACTATTACTACCGGTACGTAGTAATCATTAACTGTACTCTATGCGGTATCAAATCTTGTCCTTCTAGGTGTACTCCTAGCCAGAGTACTGGCATGATGCTCTCATCGGATGTACCAGTCCTTCGTTTGAAGGCAAGGTTAACTGAAAATAACATCTGTACATCCGCGTGGAGTCTTGATTATGTAGCATACACAATCTACTATACGTGTACAGTACTACTGTAGCTCTACTGTGTACATGTAGTACAGTAGGATTTTACAGATTAATCAGTCAAATTAGAGTATTGTTGATTACATTCCAGAATACCGTAATTACTAATATGACGCATTTTGACAGCTACGTTGAACTTGATTAAAGTATGTATTGTTAATTTTGACGCATTCGATGGTTACTAAGACTTGATTAAAGTATTGTGCATTGTATACCGCTTACGCTTTGTCTCCCTGTGAATCGTCCTGTGTGATTCTTAGTGCGCACTACTTTGTAGTATCGCCAAATCCCTCTATCAATTTAGTATGGCAGAGTATCCTGTTTTGAATGTTACTTCACTTGGTTAACGTAAACTAGTACTAAGTACTACGTAGTACTTACGTACAATGCACTGCACGTATACTGACAGAATACTACGTAGTACTATTCAACTGCACATATCTTGAACGATTATTATGACGTATTTTTAAATAGTACATTGAATATCTTGAGACTGCTTAATGTGACGTATCTTGACAGGTACGTTGAACTTGATTAAATTATGCATTGATTATTATTACTTATTTTGACGGTTATCTCATTTCCTTTGTAACACCTCGGGCTGTAGCTGCTTGGTTGCAGCTACATGGAATTGTAGCTACAATGTCATACTGTAGCTACAGCAGTAACCTGTAGCTGCAAGATCGTAGCTAAATTGATGTGTAGCTACAACGTCCTAGCTACCACTCTGAGGAGTACTGTACATACAAGGTCGTAGCTACATTGATTGTAATCAGGATTTTGTTTGTAACGCCTGGGGCTGTAGCTGCACGGTCGCAGCTACATGGAATTGTAGATAGCTGCAACAGTACATGTAGCAGCAAGATCACAACAACATTGATGTGTTACTACTCCGTCCCAGATACCACACTAAGGAGTAACATGCATGATCGTAGGTACTGTACCGCCATGGGCTATCGTTCAAACATAATCGAAATCATCGCCGTGATCGCCCGAAATCTCTACCCCGACGCAGTGGAGACTGCGAACGAAAAAACTTGTGCGCTTATGATAACCTTTATATTCCATCGACACTACTGTTGCATTGTCTAGAACGTTATTCATTTATTTGGACCAAATGGTCTGGTTATCACATTTTCCTCGGAGACAATATACACCACTCTTGAAAGCGCACTTGTCGTATACGCATATGCTAGAATTCGAGACTTGCAGGGGTATAAAGCGAATGTCTGCTTAGGACAGATCACAATACGTCCTTTTTCTAGTCTTTATTATTTTTTCGCATGCAATATCTACATATTTTATGGGGTTTTCTCGTTGTTTTCTCATGTAACATCTACATCTATGCAAGGTTAAGGCCAGGGCGCCAATGGCAAGAAGTGAGCAATGCAGTTGAGGATGTGCAATCGCCACACTGCCAAGTCGTCATGCTCAAAAGGGCCAATGCTGAAGGTCTGAATGAATTGCTTTGCAGCAATACAAACGAAGACTCCGCAATCGTAGCCGTTGTGTTGTTGGGGTCCAGGAATCTCCATGCCGTGTAATTGACCTTGACGCCCATCCAGGGTATCGACAAAGCGTTGTAAGGTCGTCAGGACGGTCGGACGGGGACTGTGTAACGAGTCGTAGAAGCCGTAACGCTGGTGGGTAAAATCGAGGATACTAAGCATCCAGTGACCAGGAACAAAGATGGGAAAGATCACACATCGAGTTTGCACGCCTTAGGATGACCTTCTTAGGATTCGGGTGGCTTGTTCGAGATTTGGATCGTTCGTCATGCCCTCGAAGAAGTGACTGTTCAAAAAGGCAAATCTTGGCGTAAATTGCACCAGGCTCGCCATGAAAAGGTTGATCACGTCCTCACCAATCCAGGCATCTAGCGAAAGAAGCGATTCCAAGTTGAAATCGTGAGCCCGGGCCATCCAAACGTAACTCAATCTCTCCACGCAAGACAGGTCTGGGAGCGCCCGATGCTGCGCTTTGCCTTTGTTTCGAGGAGGCGGAGAACTCAACGACAACGTTTCAAGGGCGTCGTCGATGGAGGTGCTGTGGTTCTGCAATGATGCTTGTGAGAACAATTCTTCGGTACACCCAACCGAGCTCTTCGAACTTGAGCGACCCAAATCAGGAGGAGTTGATGGAGTCGCAGGAAGCACCGTGCATGGTGAACTTCGTTGCATCAGCCCCAAAACACTTGACTTTGGTCGGGCCCTTGCAACTTCAAATGGGCGCTTCTCCATGCGATCCAATACACTCCGCTTTAGTTGAGCCATTGAAAGCATGTTTGTTGCGGGAGTGCTCTCCATGGGGTCCAAAACACAGAGCTTTCGTTTGGCCCGTGGAGCGACTGCAACTGGGGCTTCTGGTAGAGTCTTCTTCAAGGCGTTGAAATCACTGGAGTTGAACACGACAGTGTTTTCGTTGCGGGACAGATAGACCGCAAACAGTTGCTCCAGCCTCAAGTTCTCTGCAATAGTGTCGTTGCTCGGCTGAAAGTACCGGATGCACTCATTTGTGAGCGGTTTCAGTGCTGAAAACCCATCACGCTTGGTCAATCGGGAGATGGCGATGTATCCTTGTTGGCAAGTGTTGACAACCTTATTGAACTTGGAGCCACGTGCTTTCCAATCCGCGACAACAAGGGATTCCATTGTCTCGCCTTGGATCTTGTAGATTGTCGAAGCAATTGCGTTGACAAACGGCAACTGCTGCAAGTTGAGCTTCAGTGTTCGTTTTGAACCACCAGGGCCAGGCGTCAACGTAACCTCAGTTGATCCCTGAGGCTTGAACATGAACACGGGGTACACGTCAGCTGGCAGGGAGTCGTGCAATCCATCTCGAGGCAGCACGTCAAAGTTCTTTGGACGTGTCACTCGAACAAACACAACTGCGGGTGGACTGTTGGGTATCAACACCTTCAGCTTCGATCCAGCGTCTTCAACGAGCTTGAACTTCGTCGTTTGGTTGAACTGAACGGAGTGCGATGTCCCAAACGTTCCATTTGCAATTCCGTGTTGAGGGTTCACGTTTTGTGTAAACACCACGGGCATACCCTGGATCAAATCGATGGACGGGGCCATGTTGCCGAGCTTTGTGTCGGGAAGGAACATTATGTCAGATATGTCTTTTGACGACAACCCGTTCAATCGACCGTTGAAGTTGGCCACAACTCGAATGGGGTAGTGGTTCCGTTGAAGCTTCGTACACAATGCGGCAGTGTATGCGTTGATGATTGCTTGTCTTGTCCGGTTGTCAGGGGTAGTGTACGTTGTACATCGTTGACTTGGAGGACCTGAAGGAGTGCTGACATTTGATGACGCCATGCTCTTCAAAACCAAACCATCCGAGACAATGCGGCTGTTCAGGATGTCAACAAGCTCTTGCCTACATTCGCCTTTTCGTGCCAGGCTCACATATCGCCCCCATTCGGGATCCTGGGAGAATCGGACGTTTTCATTCAACACCCCACAACATCTTTGAACGACCGCCACAAATGGAAGCCCGGGTCTTCGTAGAGATCGAACTTCAAGTCCCCTCGATACGCAGACAGTGGTGTATACAACGGTTTTCCACCAACAGGGGGCATTTGGAAGAAATCACCAGCCAAAACGACGTTGATTCCACCGAAGGGCAAGTCCAGCTTCGTCCGTGCACGAAGTGCCTCGTCGAGTCGAACCAACTGTTGTTTGTTCATCATGGACATTTCGTCCACCAGGAGTAGCTTGAGATCTTCCGTGTAGCCAGGTACGCCTTTCTCGTCGGCTTCTTTCGCCTCGTGAACAGTGCTCGGGGTCAAGTTGTGCATACCAATCCAGCTATGCAACGTAACTCCGTTGATTGAGACGGCGGCCTTGCCAGTCATTGCGGTTTTGGCAATGCTGAATGGTCTCTTCCACGAGTTACAAAACGCTTGCACAGCAGCGATGACATGCGACTTTCCAGTACCCCCTTCACCGTGCAGAACCATTCGTAGTTGTATGGCGCTCGTTGCAGTGGTGACACTTCGCGGGTCGTGATCTCCATTGTCTTCAAGTTGCCATCGCTGCAATAGAGCACGTGCAATACATGTGAAGCTCAAGTGTTGGCGCATACGAAGGCCAAAAGCACTTGAAATAACACCGATGTGGGCGTAATCGGGCAAAGCTTGAGGTACTTTGCCCCTCTCAACCAGGTTTCCAACAACGACGCCCATTGATGCGGATATCGCAGCATTGGTTGGTGGTCAGTCCCTCGACGAAGCGTCAACAACAGCATCCTCAAGTTACATGTCCATTTTGGGTGCTTGGGACCAGCGGCTTCGTTGCCATGAGAAGTTTGCGTCGGATGTCAAAGGTCTAAAGACATGGGCGTCGAAAAAACGCGTGGAACGAGTTGTCACGTTCGAAAACCAATCCCGTGTCGAATAAAGCAGCGAGGCATCGATGGCTTGGTGTACAGACCTGTTTGGCGAGATTCCAACGTTGGTCCAAGTCAACGTTCCAGGTGCATTGGATCCATCAACGATGTTGTACACTGGCAACTTGACTTGGTTGCTCATCTCCGACGATGACACTGCTTGATACAATTCCGATGTGGTATCGCATGCATAATCACAGTCCAAGTGCCTGGTTACTGATGTCTGCTGGCAACCAGGAGTGCGTTTTCAATGTCAATGTCGTCGAAGTCATCAGGCTCAGTGCGACCATCGTCGTTTTCCATTTGGATGTTCTGTTCTTCCTCCCTGGATGTTCTTGTCTTTGCGGCCTTCTTTCGGCCGACATGGTAGTCTTGCATGAAATGGTACACTTCAGCAGAACCAGTCCTCATCGTAGGTTGAAATGCTTCTCACGCGTCATGCCATGTTGAGCCGTGTGGGCACAAATCCGACAACACACGAAATGGTTTGAAAAGTACCAAAGCAACTTGGGCGTGGAAATCTCTCTCCTCGGTTTCAAACAATCCCCAAAGAATGGCACGCACAAACCACCAGTTAGAACGGGAATACGCGCCAAGCGATGTACCCCAATGCACTTCGACTTGTGCAGGGAATATCTTTCCATGAAGAGTTTATTTATCGGACGATGTGCCGTCTGCGCAATTCGCGCGGAAGAACTTTGACGTGAACTCAAACCATGAGATGTCCTTACACATGCCATCAGGTCTGTTGATGTAATCTTCTGCTGGACCAACCGGTACAAATAAGGTTGATTTCTCAGGGCGACTTGGTCCAGCAAGTGGTGAAGTATCTTCTTCGTCGTCACTTTCGAGGTCTGAGGAGTCACTTTCCGACCCATCGTTGGAGGATTCGATGTGAGAAGCATCACATTCCCCCAGTTGTGGACGCGTGATACCCTTGATGTTGGTGGCCACTTCAAGTTGAAATGGAGTGTCGCTGTGTTGGTGCAAGAACTTCAACACGTGGCGGATGGACATTTTCTTGTAAAAGTGGCTTGTGTAAGCGCACGACTCGCGCAACAGGTACAAGGCACACAACGGGCCAGCAATTTCTTGTTTTCTCGTCATGTCGAACATGAGCGACGCCAAGCGACGACGGCACTTGACTTCATCGGACAGGGCCACCCCACCTTCAGCTGTTGAGAGTTCTCGCTGAATGCGCGCGTCAAAAGCAGCGAATGACAGGGCCGTTCAACATTCAACCTTCTGTTGGCCCTTGGTGGTGTACTTGCAGGCGTAGTAGATGCGCTCAGCCATTTCAGCACCACCGATCATGATTTGAATGTCGTGATTGCACTTGAAAGCACAAAGGATGACATCGCTGTATCCATTGATGTACTCTTCGCCGAGCCTCCTCACGAGCAAGATTGCAGACGTGCCAATGCGTCCAACTTCAACTCGGGCCCGAGGGATCAAATATCGGCACATTTGTGCACCTCTTGTGTTGCGGCTTTGTTTGAAGCACGAAGAGCAATGCGACCACCAATGCACTTGCAACACTGATGCCAACGTAGCAATGACAAACAAGACCGTCTCGTCAGGTAGTCGGGTCTCATTTGGCCCAAACGGCATGCTCGACAGCTCGCGGTAGATAGGATCCAAACAAAATGGGTCTTTGTCGGGGGCAACGTACGTATTCGACGCTGTGTTGGACTCTTCGAGATTTGCTCGCGCACCAGCCAGAAGCTCTTGATAGTCGACGTTGGATTCCATGTGGACAGTGCCTGCTAGGTATGCCTGGAAGCTCGAACGCATGTGGTCATGTGCTCGCTCGGGATCATACTCCTTTCCGGCTGTTGACTTCAAGAACGATGCTTCCTCGTTCAAGTACTTGTCAATTGCAGAATGAGAAAGCTTGGGCAACTCAACAGGCCACACTGTTGGCCTCGAATGAAAGAGGGCTTGCCGAACCAAGTGCTGGGAGCTGACCATCGTGTTGCAATGTCCACACTTGGCCATAATGGGCTCTTTTGGAAGCACGCCTTCTGAGCGACGTGGTTTTTCGAAGGCTGTCAAGGGAGGGTCGAGCGCTTCATACTTGGTATCCACATGCTCACACGCCTTGCAGGGGGTCTGAAGGAGGTCAATGGACAGCGAATTGGACACAATGCCCTCTGAGTACTTCAGCACCATCGCTTCATAGTTGAGGTCTGCCTGCAATCGGGCCTCGAACTCGGACGTGGAACGTGGAGCGCTATAAACCCAAGCAAGAAGGTGCAAGTGAAGCGTCCCTCGACCTTGAGTCTCAACCATTCCAAAGTACGCCTTGACATGGCCGGATAGTTCGCCAGACTTTCTTGGTCGACCACTAGTCTTGTCGAAACCCACAACGACTTTGGTGAACGCCTGGATGCTTCGATCGAATACAATGATCTACAGTTAACGTTAACCTAGGGAGTTAGTTAGTACAAAGTACTACGAGCACAAGATTTAACTGTATACAAGTAGTGTGTGCAGTATGTAGTACTAAGAAGTCGAGACAGTATTTAGGAACGGAGTAGTTCTATGTACTATGTACTATATGCAGATGTACGAATTCAAGTGGGGTACGTACTAGTGTGGTAAAACCATTGTCAAACCAACATTGTGGGCCAACATTTCAATGAGCCCATCATTCCCGAGCAGACCAACATTCCCT